CGCCAGGTGTTACAGACACACAATATCTTGGTGCTAATTGTCCCCACATCACAATCTGCACCCTCGCCCGGAAGTAAACTTGGAGGCAGGGGGCTGCAGGAGAGACTGCACAGACTGGGTCGGACTGGAGTCCCAAGGCCAGGGAGCAGAGGTGCGAAGGGCCAACACAAAGAGGCAAAAAGCTTTTCCTTTGTTCCAAGCATGGACCTTTCAGCGAGCGGTTGCACCCCGCCAAAGAGTCTGCCGGAGGGGGGGACGCCCACCAGACCGGCCGGTGGAAGCTGGGGTGCAAAAGTGGGACATGTTGGTAGGATCTGTTCTGAAGCCTGGGCGTGCCTCAGTTTCCCAGGTGCCCTGCCCGGGGTGCAGCGGGGGAAGGGATGAAGTTTGCTCTCAGGGCAGGCTCACAAACAGAGGCACCATGTGGCTCCCCATCTGGGTGGAATGAACTGTCCTAAAGGAACGGGCTGAAATCCACCCAGCTCCAGGAGGGGCCCAGAGAGACGGCGCCAGCCCAGTGACTCACGAACACACCGCGGGGACCGAGCGGAGACCTCCCCCGCTCGGAAACAAAGGCCTGGCAGAGGTGTGGAGGGAAGAAGTTGGCTTGGGAACCCCGGAGAGTCTCTCACGTAGGAGCTGAGGAAGTCAGACACACGCACAGGGCGTGCACATGGGAGTCGCTAGCAATGTTCCCTCTTATTTTTCCCATCCGCGTGCAGAATACTTTTTGTTGAGCGCGCCAAGGCAGGTGCAGATGTGCACCATCTGTGGAAACATCTGCTGGCGGCAGTGGACGTAATCAGCCAGGCGGGCCCCGAATCTCTGCTGGGTGGCTGCCCACGTACTTAGCTTATGGGGAACACTGGTGGCTAGAACTATGGGCCGACCAGCCTCTCCACTGTCTCCATCTCTCCATGGGAACCAGAGGGCTGCCCCGGCTCCCAGCTGACTGATCAACCCGAAGGGCGGACAAGCCTCCGCTAGGGTCTGGCCCAGCTGGCTCACCGGGCTTCCTGCTCCTCCGAGGGCCTGGCAGTGCAGGCGTACTTCTCCACGTAGCCCCAGGAGCAGTTGAGGAGGGCGAAGTCGGGCCGGCAGACGGCCAGGAAGTGGGGGCGGAGGCGGCCGACGGTGATCTTGGCGATGTTGGTGAGGGACTGTCCCACGGTGCAGCCGAACAGGAAGGCGCCGATCTCCTTGTAGAGGATGGCCACGTAGGGGTTGGAGACGAAGGCGCGGGAGCCCAGGCGCAGGGCGTAGATGCGGTAGCTCTCACCCAGGGCGATCTGGGGGGCACCAGAGGGAGGCGTTGGGGGACGGCAGCTTGAGGGGGTCAGCCTCCCCCATGTGTGGGGATGGGAGATAGGAAGCAGCCGGATTCATTCCCCGCCTCCCCCATTCCAGCCCCTTGGATTAGCTCCATAACCTCACCCCTTTCCCTTTTGAAAGCCAGCCCTGCCCCCCAGGATTTTGCTTCCCCCTCCCGTTCTGCCCCACATCCTGCAGCAGGGAGTTCCACGGGACAAGCAGCTGGCTGGATGGTAGGGGGAAGAGTCAGCTCTGCTGAGTCGCACCCAGGCTGGGATCCTGTCCTCTGGGCCAAGGGCTGCTGCTTCAGAGGAAGGATCCGAAACCAGTGCTCTGCATTTCGTAAGGGGCACAGGGGGTAAGCTACACGGACTCCACTTACCAAGGCCCTGCCACCTTGCAAGGAATGTGGCAGGGGGCGCTCTCCCCCTGGCTGTTGGGGCTGGCCCCAGAGTGGCGTTGTGCTGCAGGGGACTCAGCAGGGGGCGCTCTCCCCCAGCCATGGGGCTGGCCCTAGAGCAGTGCTAGGGGGCACGGTGCTGCAGGGGGACTCAGCCGGGGGCGCTCTCCCCTGGCCGTGGGGCTGGCCCCAGAGCAGTGCTAGGGGGCGTGGTGCTGCAGGGGGCTCAGCAGGGGGCGCTCTCCCTGGCTGGCGGTCTGGCCCCAGAGCGGTGCTAGGGGGCGCAGTGCTGCAGGGGGGCCAGCAGGGGGCGCTCCCC